AGAACATTTGTGGACCTGGGGAACGTTTCAGTGTTTGCTTCTGAATGGGGAGTCCCACGTTACTCTATGACTTTTGGCTGCGAAGGCTTTGGACCGTGCGTTTGAAAATACAGAAACTTTCCTCCACTCTAGGTGGCCATGGCTACCGGGCAAGTGTTGTTCCAGCGGTTCTTCTACACCAAGTCCTTCGTGAAGCATTCCATGGAGGTAAGGGCCCCTCCCGCGCTTCATTCCCAGCGGAATATGTTGAGGGGAAGCGGCTTTTGTTTGCCCGGTTACTCGGGAGGGAGTGCCCGCTCCCCAGTCTGAGCTCTGGGCCGGAGAGTTCTGTTTCTGAGAGTTCTGTTGCTCGGCTTCTTTTCCCCTGGGTGCATTTTGGTCTGAATAGCCCTCAAGCCTTTGGCCTGTCAGGATGCGGTGGCTGGGGACAAACATGGGTGTATTGCGATGCTTCCGCTTCAGCATGTGTCAATGGCCTGTGTTCACCTGGCTTCCAAGATAGAAGAGGCTCCAAGACGCATACGGGACGTCATCAATGTGTTTCACCGTCTCCGACAGCTGAGAGAGAAAAAGTGAGTCAGTTAGCGCTGTCCAGTTGATCTTTGTCTGCGTTTTTTTCTGGTTAAATTATGCTAACATTTCTATAACAAAGTACAGGCCTGAGGTTTTAAACCTGGGGGATGTTCCTGAGTGCATTTTCAAGTTCCTCGAACAGGGCCTGCTTAGAGGCGTCAGCAGGTGCTGTTGAGCGTGAGGGCAGGGGCTCCAGTGAGGACGGGGCACTGTGGCCCATGGCCCTGGTGCTGGCTTCCTGCTTTACCTGTGTCGGTGCACGACCCTGTTGCTGCTTGTTTCCCATAAGTTTAGAGCAGGAATTCTTAATCTCAGCACTGTTAACATTTAGGATGGATAATCCTTTATTTTTCCTTCTGAGACAGGGTGTCCCGCTGCCCAGGGTGGAATACAGTGGCATGATCATGGCTCACCGCAGCCTAAACCTCCTAGGCTCAAGAGTTTCTCCTGCCTTAGCCTCCTGAGTAGCTGGGGATGGGGTCTTGCTACGTTGTCCAGGCTGGTCTCAAATTCCTGGGCTTCAAGGATCTGCTGGCCTTAGCCTCCCAAGGCACTGGGATTACAGGCTGGGTAATCTTTATTTGTGGTGGGTTGTTCTGTCTGTTGCAGGATTCAGCAGCATCACTGGCCTCTACTCACTGGATGCCAGGAGTACTCCACCTTAGTTGTGATACCCAGAAATTCTCTCATACCAGGTGTGGTGGTTCATACCTGTAATCCCAGCACTTGGGAGGCTGATGCAGGAGGTTTGCTTGAGGCCAGGTGATTGAGGCTGCAGTGTTACCACTGCATTCTAGCTTGGATGATGGAGTGAGACTCTTGTCTCAAAAAAAAAACCCAAAAGTCTCTTGATGTTGCTTCATGGCCCTAGAATAGCAAAATTGCTCCAGTTGAGAAACACTGGCTCCAAACTTAGCAGTGTTTATGCTCCTGAAGTTAATGGAAGTTCTTTAGAAAACACGACCTCTGGCCGGGCAGTGGCTCACATCTGTAATCCAAGCACTTTGGGAGGCCAAGGCAGGTGCATCACCTGAGGTCAGGAGTTCAAGACCAGCCTGCCAACATGGTGAAACTGTGTCTACCAAAAATACAAAAAAAATTAGCTGGGCATGGTGCCTGTCATCTCAGCTACTCGGGAGGCTGAGGCAGGAGAATTGGTTGAACCCAAGGGGGAGGTTGCAGTGAGCCGAGATCGTGCCATTGCACTCCATCCTGTCAGAGAAGAGCAAAACTTCGTCTCAAAAGAGAAAAAACATGGCCTCATATTTAATTTTTGAGATCGAGTCTTGCTATGTTGCCCAAGCTGGAGTGCAGTGATGCGATCTTGGCTCACTGCAGCCTCTGCCTCCCGGGTTCAAGCAATTCTCCTGCCGCAGCCTCCCAAATAGTTGGGACTACAGGCTCATGCCACCTTGCCTGGCCATCTGTGTTTTTGTTTTTGAGACAGAGTCTCACTCTGTCACCCAGGCTGGAGTGCAGTGATGCAACCTTGGTGCTCTGAAACCTCTGCCACCCACCCCCGACTCCCTTCAAGTGATTCTCCTGCCTCAGCCTCCGAAGCAGGTGGCATTACAAGCACCTGCCACCACGCCTGGCTAATTTTTGTATTTTTTTTTTAGTAAAGACAGGATTTCACCATGTTGGACAGACTGGTCTCGAACTTCTGAGTTCAGGCAGTCCGCCTGGCTCGGCCTCCCAAAGTGCTGGGATTACAGGAGTGAGCCACCGCCCTGGCCCATCAGTATTTAAATAATGTCTTTTATTGGTTTACTGGTTATTTAACTATGAGTATGTATCCTTATATCTTGAGCCACACAAAGTGCTTTTAGCAGTGGTGCCATGAGATCCTAAAACTGTTACTGCGTTCAGTCTGTGCTTGCGCACCAGAAGCTGTTGATATGTAAGGAACAATGGGGAGGATCCTTGGGATGGGATAAGTAGGTTGGCACTGGGCTGTGAAGAATGTTGTGCAGTCTTGTTAGGGGACGTGGACATTGCAACCATGTGTGTGTTAGGTTTTCATTAGGTGCTCACAGTTGGAGGTAATGATGGCATGTCGGAAGCCTTGTTCTGCTTGACCATGATGCCGACCCTGTGCTCTCTCTTTTGTAGGAAGCCTGTGCCTCTACTACTGGATCAAGATTATGTTAATTTAAAGAACCAAATTATAAAGGCAGAAAGACGAGTTCTCAAAGAGCTGGGTTTCTGCGTCCATGTGAAGCACCCTCATAAGGTGGGTGTGTGGCTCCCATCCTGCAAGCCTGCGCAGACCACTGCTGCAGCTTGGCCGCCTCTCCACCTCAGTGCAGCTGAAGGCTATGACAAGTGCTGAGGGCATCCCTGACTCGACTTCCCGCTTTACACCCTTAGTTCAAAAATGGTTCCTGATGCATTAATCTTCCAGGGTTAGCTGTTTATCTTAGTAACACATTTATAAGAGTTTTGGAAATGGCATGGCTTAAGTTTGGGCTTTCAAAGATAGTGGTGAGTTTATAAAAATTAAATTTGTTAGTATACGTTTTTCCGGAGTGCCGTGGCGCGATCTCTGCTCGCTGCAACCTCCACCTCCTTGGTTCAAGTAATTCTTTTGCCTTGGCCTTTCAAGTAGCTGGAATTGTAAGTGCCCACCACCATGGTTGGCTAAGTTTTTGTATTTTTGGTAGAGATGGCGTTTCACTATGTTGACCAGGCTGATCTTGAACTCCTGACCTCAGGTGATCCACCCACCTCAGCCTCCCAAAGTGCTGAGATTACAGGCGTGAGCCATCGTACCCAGCTTTTTTTTTTTCTTTGAGATGGAGTCTTGCTCTGTTGCCAGACTGGAGTGCAATGGTGTGATCTAGGCTCACTGCAGCCTCCGCCTCCTGGGTTCAAGTGATTTTCCTGCCTCAGCTTCCTGAGTAGCTGGAACTACAGGCCTATGCCACCACCTGGCTAACTTTTATATTTTTATTAGAGACAGGGTTTTACCATGTTGGTAAAGGTCTTGATTTCTTGACCTTGTGATCCACCCACCTCAGCCTTCCAAGTGCTTGGATTACAGGCGTGAGCCACCACACCTGGCCCTGTGTGTGTGTGTGTGTGTGCGTGTGTGTGTGTGTGTGCGTGCGCGCGCGCGCACATGAGGGAGTTTCAGTCTGTTACCATGTTGGAGTGCAGTGGTGCAATCTCGGCTCACTGCAGTGTCTGCCTCCCAGGTACAAGTGATTGTCTTGTCTCAGCCTCCCAAGCAGCTGGGATTACAAGCATGCGCCACCATACCTGGCTGATTTTTGTATTTTTATTAGAGACAGGGTTTTACCATGTTGACTAGGCTGACCGTGAACTCCTGAGTACAGGTGATCTGCCCGCCTTGGCCTCCCAAAGTGCTGGGATTACAGGCATGAGCCACCACGGCCAGCCTTAAGTGCTTTATCCTGTTTGCTGAAAGTATGTTCATATTGTGTTTTGGTGAGTTGGTAACTGGGGTCCAGAGCCGTGTAGGATAGGCCAGCCTCAGTGGTGGAAAGTACTGAAGACGAGAATGAAACCAGCCCCGAAGAAGGAGGCCTCTGCTGTGCGTTGTGCGTGCATGCATCCTGCCTGGCTGCCAACACAGACAGCAGGTGCATCCGCAGAACTCCCTCCCGCCGAGCTGTCCACCAGACATGGCCAGGAGCCACTCCTGGGATCTAGCATGAGGCTCTTGTTTGCTGCATGGACACCCACAAGATCTGAATTCTGGGCTTTTAAGGTTCTTGCTAATAACTACCTGACCCGTATCTTCCAGATAATCGTTATGTACCTTCAGGTGTTAGAGTGTGAGCGTAACCAACACCTGGTCCAGACCTCATGGTGAGTTGAGCTTCCTTGTTTTATGAGACCAGCAAGGGCAGTGCAGGAATGTGTTGACTTGAGGCACTTGGGCAGTGGGTAGGCCGCCCAGTGACTTGGTTTTGGGCTGGAGTTGTCCGAGTGCCCAGTGCTCCTGCTGTGTAAATTCCAATCAGACTCCCAAAATGGGCACTGGCAGTAACGGTAGGTGGCCCGTTCCCTCCCTGCAGCCCTGCGCTTCCTGTGCCCCCACCCTGAGGAGAGCAGTCAGTGGGTGTCCTCAGAGAGCTGTTGATGTGGCACAGGGGGGCCATTTCCCAGGGACATGGAGGCTAATGTAGACTTAGCGTCTCCCTGAAATCACATCTCATGGGAGAGGGGCAGAGAAGGCTCTGGGACTGATGTTAACAATGCATGTGCCAGAAAGGAGACCGAAAGTGGCAATTTAGTATTTAGGGTTTTTTGGTGAATTTTTTCCCATGGAGTTAAGTCTGTAAGGGTCATATTTTTGCTGACTGAATTGTCTGGTGCTATGACATGTTTAATAGAGAACCTATTTTGACTTTTCTTTTCTGTACTCTTTCAATCAAAGGGTAGCCTCTGAGGGTAAGTGACTAAGACTTCTCCTCTGCTGTCCAAGCGCTTTGGTGCAGGGACAGCGGCATCTTCAGCCAATCCAGTGCAGGCTCTCCACCGAAGGCTGGCCCTAGACTGGTGGTACGCGCACATAGCATAGCCATGGCCGACTGCTGCTTGTGGTTCTCTGACGATTGTGCTTCTTGTTAACCTTCTGTCGTGCTTTGGTAATTGTATTGATTAGAGTTGATAACTGTCTTGACTTGAATTTTGTCCCTTTAAAACTGCTGTACCTATATGATAAAGATGCAATACCTTTCTCTTAAAAAATGGCATGGAAAGCTGTCAGAATTGAAGTGACAAATTGGCTGGGGGGAACCCAAGTGTCCGTGGGGGTTACGTCATGATTTCTAGAAGTCTCAAGTTGCTCTTTCAACAGTTTTGCATGACACATTCCAGTAAAGGTGTGCATCTTTAAATTATTCCATGGATACTTTAAAAAATATTGTAACATTTCAAATATAGCAATAAGTTTATATGTTCTGAAGATTGCATTTGTTTTTAAGACTTAAAAGTTAATGGATTAATATTATAACTACTTGAATACTGAAAATTGTTTATTAGAAACCAAAAGGTTACTGATTGTTGATCTGTGTTTGAGCTGCTCACTGCTCCTTTGCTTCAGGGGGTGTGGCTTCACGGCTGTCACACAGATTCTCTCTTGATACCTGGAGCTGCTTCCAGAGCCACGTGCCTCTAGGCACCTGTAGAACTTAACCATTTAGAAACCTCTGAGTGAGTTTGTATGTTACCTTCTCCAAGGTTTCTGTAGGACAGAGATCGGGGGAGGGCAGTCCTTCAGAACCCTGCATGACTCATCTCATTGTGGGTGCAGCCCAACTCCAAGGCTCGCTGTTACTGGGGTACGTGAGGAGCAGTGAATATAAGACCAGATCACCTGTCCTCACGGGATCAACCCTTTTTGTTATTGCAGTATTCTTAAAGCTAGTATATGGTCTGGTTTTAGACTATTAAATCTTAGATGTATCTAAAGGAAAACGCTAAAAATGTCAGTTTTTAAATGCTTTAAAAAGATGTGAAGTTTTGTATTTTTATAGCTTCTAAATATGATGAAATTTAAAGAATGTACTGTGATGAAATGTTCAGTATTGTGTTGCTTCTGATTCTATGAATGTTCATTTTAAGACTCCTTGTTGAAATGGGACAGTTGGCAGCGGCTCTGGTGAGCCCAAGAAGAGGCCTGCCCTTGGGTGCTGAGCCTCCCTCTGCACGACGCTTCCATGCGTCCAGCTTACACCCAGGGGGCTTTTCCCTCTTCCAAGTGGACTCCTTCAAGCAAGTCCCAGCTTGGTCACCAGAGGAGGGTCCTGCCGCCAGCGGCCTCGAAGAGGAGGGAGAGGACGGCAATAGGACGGCCTGTGTCCCAGCAGCCGCCGGCTCTGTGCCCAGCCAGTTCATTTGAGTTTGCATGTTTCTCTGCACTATGGATTTTGAGCATTTAGATTTCTTTAATCAAAAGCGTTTTAGTGACTACAGTAGACGTTTTCTTTCGGAGGCATCGTGCTTTGCATGAGAGCAGGCCAAAGTTGAGGGGAAAAGTCAAGTTAAAGTTGGTTCTCTTCCATAGCAACACACATTGTCTGACATTCAGCCAGCTTTTTTTTTTTTCTGATTATTTCTATGCCTTCCTGTCTTGTATTTAGAAAAAGCAGCTAGAAGATTTCTCCATTAACTCTTGAGATTCACTGAACTGTCCAGCTCTGAGTCCTAGCAATAGACTCCTTAGAGCAGTAGTGAATTTATCTAGACTTATCTAGATAATGCAGGCGGATGTCCTGGGTTCCCGGGTGGGGCATTGCAGTTCTTCTTGTGTTTGGTTTCCAGGAATTACATGAACGACAGCCTTCGCACAGACGTATTCGTGCGGTTCCAGCCTGAGAGCATCGCCTGTGCCTGCATTTATCTTGCTGCCCGGACACTGGAGGTCAGTGTGTTGCTACTATGGAGAGATTCTAGTCTGATTTCTTTTCCTCCAGCCTCCAGTAAACTTTACTGTAGTATTCTTCAAATTATACTAATCTGGGCCAAAGCGTTTTGGCGACCAGTGGCTGTTTTATCTTCTGAGTTGCTGGCGTGCAGTGGAGGAAGGTGTCACAGTGATGGTGTTTGTGTCTACAGATCCCTTTGCCCAATCGTCCTCATTGGTTTCTTTTGTTTGGAGCAACTGAAGAAGAAGTTAAGGAAATCTGCTTAAAGATCTTGCAGCTTTATGCTCGGAAAAAGGTTCTTCTGCATTTTTTCTTGTATGCGTTTGTGTTTGGCCAGAAAAACCTGGTTCTGAATGTCGTCCTCTGGCTTTTATAGGTTGATATCACACACCTGGAAGGTGAGGTGGAGAAGAGGAAGCAAGCCATCGAGGAGGCGAAGGCACAAGCCCGGGGCCTGCTGCCAGGGGGTACTCAGGTTCCCGATGGCACCGCGGGCTTCTCACCGGCCCCCAAGCTGAGTGAGTCTGTTAGGTGGTAGGAATCAGCTCCCCACAAGGCTCAGAGGCTGGTGATCCTCATGGGCCTTCATTCTGGGGTATGTGCTCCTTCCAGACTCTTTTTTTGAGACACGGTCTCTGTCACTCAGGCTGGAGTGCAGTGGTGTGATCATAGCTCACTGCAGCTTCCACCTCCTGGATTCAGGAGATCCTCCGACTCAGCCTTCTGCATAGCTAGGACTGTAGGCACATGCCACCACGCTCGACTGATTTATCTTTTTCATTGACACTGGGTCTCGATATGTTGCCTGGGCTGGTCTTGAATTTCCTGGCCTCAAGCGACTGTCCTGCCTCACCATCTCAGAGTGCTGGGAGTATAGGCACCTGGCGTATCTGTTGATTAGCAGGGAGTTTGGACAGGCTGTTTAAAACGCTTTTGTTTGCCTGCTGCCCAGTAGCTTGTCATCTAGGGAAGGTGTTAGAGTGTGGGGCCGTAGATGATGTATGTCGTCACACGTAGAGTGTGTAGTGTCATGCAGAGGGCCTGTCTGCATTGCTTCTGTGGTTTCTTTTTTTTTTATTTGAGACGAAGTTTTGGCTCTCATTGCCCAGGCTGGAATGCAATGGCGCAAACTCTGCCTCCCGGATTCAAGCGATTCTCCTCCCTCAGCCTCCTGAGTAGCTTGGAATATAGGCCTGTGCCATCATGTCTGGCTAATTTTGTATTTTTAGTAGAGATGGAGTTTCTCCATGTTGATCAGGCTGATCTTGAACTCCCGACCTCAGATGATCTGCCTGCCTTGGCCTCCCAAAGTGCTGGGATTACAGGCTTGAGCCACTGCTTCTGGACTTTTTTTTTTTGATGAGAGTCTCATTCTGTTGCCTAAGCTGGAGTGCAATGGTGAGATCTCGGCTCACTGCAACCTCCGCCTCCCAGGTTCTGGTGATTCTTGTGCCTCAGCCTTGCAAGTAGCTGGGATTATAGGTGCATGTCACCACACTCAGCTAATTTTTGTATTTTTAGTAGAGACAGTGTTTTACAATGTTGGGCAGGCTGGGCTCGAACTCCTGACCTCAGGTAAATCCACCTACCTTGGCCTTCCAAAGTGCTGGGATTACGGGCGTGAGCCACCGTACCTGGTCCCATCCGCATTTCTGTGATGTCTGTGTAAGTTCCAGGTCCTAGGCTGAGAGCAGGAAGTTAGAGTTGGCTTGCGCTTCCACATGTAGAGGGGCCTGACTTTTTTTTTGAGACAGAGTCTCAGTCTGGAGTGCAGTGGTGTGATCTTGGCTCACTGCAATCTCCGACTCCCTGGTTCAAGCTAGTGTCCTGCCTCAGCCTCCCAAGTAGCTGAGATTACAGGCATGCGCCACCACACCTAGCTAATTCTTCTGTATTTTTAGTAGAGATGGGGTTTCACCATGTCGGCCAGGATGGTCTCGATCTGACCTTGGCCCCCAGAATGCTGGGATTACAGGCATGAGCCACCGTGTCCAGCCTAGGGGCCTTACTTGCTCTACTAACTTGTTTCTGATTGGGAGAGTTTTTTGTGGTTGGCTTTTAACCTCTTGTTCTGATTCTAGCGGAATCCCCCACAGAAGGTAAGGGAAGCAAGCCTTCCCCACTCTCTGTGAAGAACAGCAAGAAGAGGGCGGAGGGCACCAGGAAGGCCAAGGCAGGCAGTCCCGTGAACGGGTAAGACCCAGAGCTGCCCAGGTGGCTGTCGGATAGGCTGGAGAGACTCGTGGTCTGTAACTGGCTCCTGTCCTGTTCATAGCTTGCCAAAGGGGCGAGAGAGTCGAAGTCGGAGCCAGAGCTGTGAGCAGAGCTACTCCAGGTCCCCATCGAGATCGGCTTCACCTAAGAGGAGGTGTGTGCCTCAGGGCGTCCTGGGGAGGCCCACACTAGGTTGGGGTGGGGCCATCCCTGGGGGTAGTCATTCTCACCCTGAAGTGGTTTCTCTAAACCGGGAGGTTGTGTGTCTGTGTCTGAGATCCTGTGGGTGCGTCAGGCCTGGCCAGGCCAGGTGGTCACACATGTGTGGTGGTGCTGTCCTTCTTCCCAGGAAAAGTGACAGCGGCTCCACGTCTGGCGGGTCCAAGTCGCAGAGCCGCTCCCGGAGCCGGAGTGACTCTCCACCGAGACAGGCCCCTCGCAGCGCCCCCTACAAAAGCTCTGAGATTCGGGGCTCCCGAAAGTCCAAGGACTGCAAGTATCCCCCCCAGAAGCCACACAAGTCTCGGAGCCGGAGCTCATCCTGTTCTCGAAGCAGGTCACGGGAGCGGGTGGGTAATCCGGGGAAATACAAGAAGAAAAGTCATTACTACAGAGACCAGCGACGGGAGCGCTCCAGGTCATACGAACGCACCGGCCGTTGCTACGAGCGGGACCACCCTGGGCACAGCAGGCATCGAAGGTGAGGCGGAGTTGCAGTGACTGGCGGGCGCAGGCCCTTCCCGGGGAGGTACCTGATGGCTGCCCTCTCTTATCGCAAGTGGCCCTGTGGTAGGGTTCTTTTTGGAAATGTATTTTGACTGGACCTTGGTGGATTTGGAAATGGAATTGGGGGGCCGGTGACATGGGCTTCATTCAGGCCTGTCTTGGGGGCGGTGCACACCTGGGCTGTGCAGAGCCCCGCGGCAGCGGCAGCTCTGAGGGCAGCTGGATGAAAATGGGAACGCACACACCCTTGTGGCGTGGCCTGGTGCTATTGGCAGCCCCCTCTCCACTCCCCGACCGACACTCAATTACGGGAAGCCAAGAAAGATGATTTTTAGAACCTTTGCCTATATTAGGTTGTACCTATGTACATATTTTGCAGTGTTTCACAAGAGAAAATGGCCTTAACTGCCCCTTATTCTCTCTCCATGTTGTAAATAAACATGTGTTTAATACAAGTTAAAGCTATATATGAAAACTCAGAACTTTAATCCTGTCAGCTTAAAACTTGTATAGGGAATCCTGAGTTTAAAATGTGACGGTATCTGGATCTGTGTTGAAAGTCCTACATTTTTATCTGTGCAGTGCTGAGTGCAGGCCACCAGCTCTTCCCCATGAGTGCATTTGACATGGTGAATAAACACCTCTCTCTCCACTCAGGATTCCGGGAGAGTTACAGACTTGGTAGGTGGTTGTTGAATGTGCTCGTGCAAGTGTCCGGGCGTGCACACAGCCAGCGTGCCAGCTCTCGGGGTTCTGGCTCCCCGCTCATCCGATTCCGTTTGCCTGCCCTTCTGCTGAAGGCTTGTGAAGTCCTGAGCCCCGTGCCCTTGAGGACACAGGCTCCTTCCTGCAGGGCGGTAGGAGGGAAGTTTTGGAAACAACAGAATGATTCTGGAGTGCTCTCCGTGCTGCGGGGGACTGGGTTGTAACCCATGATGTCTGTGTGCAGGCGCGAGAGGCAGCCGGGCGCAGGGCACTTGGAGGGTCGCACATGCAAATCCCAAAGTACTGGGATTATAGGCGTGAGCCACCCGTCTGGCCTACAGCAGTCCTTTTCTTGAACTGGAGCTGGTTCTTGTGGGGCAGGGACAGTGCAGAGGCAGCTGTATTTATATGCAGGTTTACTTACATTCAAATTAAGGGATGAGTCACCAGGACTTTGTAGGGAGGAGTGGTAACATCTGGATTGTTACCGGGTTTTGTTTGGAAAGGGGTGGTAATAACCTCCCCGTTGTTGCCACAGCATTTGTAAATTGTCAAGGCACTGGTGGGGTGGCTTATACCCATGAGCAGTGGGGGCCATCAGGGATCACCTTCCTGGCCATCTGCTGCTTCCTTCCAGCTTCTTCATCCTGTCTGGAGGACTGTCCTGCAGGTCTCCTGCCTCCCTGCTGAAGCCAGCAAATGGGACAGGGCGGTCCTGCTCTTCCCCAGCTGGAGACTGGCTGGTTTAGGACAGAGCACGTGGTGGCTGCCTCCAGCATGGCGTGCATCTCCTTGCACTCACTGCTGCAGAGACGTCCAAAGCACTGACCCCATGCAGAGCCCCTTTGGGACCCGGTTGTCACAGGCCACCCCTCTGTCCTGGGTGAAGGGTCGTTCCTAGAGAGTTGACACTAGTCATGGTCCTGATCTTTTACGAGATGAGGGCCTGGGGAGGGTGCTGGACGGGAAGGGCAGGCAACAGGGTAGCCTGCCCCCGTGACTCCATGCAGCCTGCACCTCTACCATCTGGAGAAAGCGGATGGGAGGGAGCTCAGGGGGCTCAGGCTGGGGGGACATGGCGAAGGGTTGTGAGCTCAGGGACATGCCGCTGGGCATAGTAGTGCCCCCAGGGACACTGTTCAGCACACTGAGCACAGGACAGTCCCCAAGCGTCAGCTGTGCCGAGGTGGAGAAATGTGACCCATGCCCTGGAGCACAGCCAGGGCCCAGTGTCCCCAGAGCCTCCAGCCCCACATCTCTGGCAATGCCCAGCTTTCATGAAGGGCACCGCTGCTGCCTGAGGCAGGTCCTCCCTCGGGCTTTCCAGAGCCAAGTCTGGAGCTCACTAGATGGGTGGGCTAAAGTGAGGGTCTGGCTCAGGTCCTTTGAACATCCACACTAGCCATGAGGCCCCACAGACTCATCTCTGCCTAAGGACACAGCAAGAGGCCATGGCACCAGCTCCTGGCATACGTGCCCTGGAGCTCTGGCAGCTGGAGCCTGGTTTAGCACCCTTTGGCCTCCAATCCCAAGTGGCTCAGTTCCCAGCCTGGATCCAGAAGCAACGACCTGAGGGTATGGGGTCCTTGCCCAATATGCCTGGGGCTGCAGCAAGGCTAGGGCCAGGGGTCACTCCAGCCCTGGGAGGATCTGCAGGAGGAACCCACGTTGGGAGGCATCTGGTAGGTGGGTACCTCCCTGGCAGTCCTCAAGGTCACCCTTGGCACTTGGGGTGGCGGCAGGTCTTGCCACAAATCTTGTCTTCCCAAGGGAGGCAGGCAGGGATGGCCTGCCCCGCACCCATGAAGCCACTGTCCCCGTCTGCCTCAGATTTGCCCTCAGGCACTGGGCCTGCGTAGTGACCACTAGCTCTGGCAGGACCAAAGGAAGGAGGAGCATGCACCAGTGTGGTTCTGCAGACAACCCCACCCCAACCTCCGCTCCACCTCCTCAGGCCCAACCCTGGGGGCTACTTTCATCCCACCAGCACTTTCAGAGCTTCACAGCCAGTTGTGCGAATGTGGGGATGGCATAGGCAGGACTGGGGCCCAGCATGGGTGTACCCCAAGTTCCTCAGTGCAGGGCACACACAGAGCAGCGCCTGTGTTGTGGAGTTGCTGGGCTGGCTTTGCTGGCAGTGGCTTTGCTGGAGTGTCATGGCCCAGGGCCCCCAACCCTGAGAGGACACACCTAGCAGAGAGGCTGCCACCTCATCAGCAAGGGGTTTGAGCCCTGCTCCAGGACAGCTCAGTGCAGCGCCCGTCCCAGGGGTGGGGCATCCTGAGCCAGTCCCTGCTCCTGGTCCCTTACCCTTTGGTGCAGGTGCCTGGCTCCTGGGAAACCCTCTGCCTGCTGCACTGGTGAGCATTTAACTAGCACCCTGAAAAAAAGGTCCTAGTTTTTCAATGTTTGTAAATACTTCCTTCATGGCCTATTTACTTCTTTCTGAGACAGAGTCTCACTCCGTTGCCCAGGTTGGAGTGCAGTGGCATGATCTGGCTCACTTCACTTCCACCTCCTGGGTTCAGGTGATTCTCATGCCTCAACCTCCCACGAGGCTGGGATTACAGACATGTCCCAGCACACCTAGCCAAATTTTGTACTTTCAGTAGAGATGGGATTTCACCACATTGGCCAGGCTGTTCTCGAACTCCTGACCTGAGGTGATCTCCCCACCTTGGCTTCCCAAAGTGCTGGAATTACAAGCGTGAGCCAGTGTGCCTGGCCCAGCCAATTGAGACAGTCTCTGTTGCCCAGATGGGAGTACAGTGGTATGATTTCTGCTCATTGCAGCCTCAATCTCCTGGGCTCAAGCAATCCTGCCACCTCAGCCTCCCAAGTAGCCTCAGCTACTCCCCGTCATCCCTGGCTAATTTCTTCTTTTTTGTAGAGTTGGGGCCTCACTATGTTACAGGCTAGTCTTCAATTCCTGGACTCAAGTGATTGATCCTCCCACCTCAGCCTCCCAAGTAGCTGGGACTACAGGTGTGAGCCACCACGCCCAGCTAATTTTTGTATTTTTTGTAGAGACAGGGTTTCATTATGTTCCCTGGGCTGGATAGGGGCAGTTTTAACTGCCAACAGTTCATTCCATGCAGTAGCCATTACGTAGTTTTTCTATCATCACTTTTTTTTTTTATTTGATGGGGGAGTCTTGTTCTGTTGCCCAGGCTGGAAGTGCAGTGGCATGATCTCGGCTCACTGCGACCTCCGCCTCCTGGATTCAAGTGATTCTGCCTCAGCCTCCCGAGTAGCTGGGACTACAGGTGCACGCCACCACACCTAATTTTTGCATTTTTAGTAGAGACGGAGTTTCACCATGTTGGCCAGGATGGTCTGGATCTCTTGACCTTGATCTGCCCGCCTTGGCCTCCCAAAGTGCTGGGATTACAGGGGTGAGCCACTGTGCCCAGCCCCAAGAATGAATTTTTAGGAGTAGGTCTAAAATTAGGATAGACATTGCTGATCTGTGTAGGTCTAATAACATCAAGGCAGGATCTTTCTGAGCCATTGGCAGGGGTTTTGCACTGAAATGGGTACTCCTGTTTAAGCTGAGCCTTTTTGTTTTGTTTTGGAGATGAGTTTTGCTCTTGTTGCCCAGGCTGGAGTGCAATGGCGCAATCTTGGCTCACCGCAACCTCTGCCTCCTGGGTTCAAGCGATTCTCCTGCCCCAGCCTCCCGAGTAGCTGAGATTATAGGCATGTGCCACCATGCCCAGCTAATTTTGTATTTTTAGTAGAGGCGGGATTTCTCCACATTGGTCAGGTTGGTCTTGAACTCCCAGTCTCAGGTGATCTGCCCACCTTGGCCTTCCAAAGTGCTGGGATTACAGGGGTGAGTCACCACGCCCAGCTTGTTTTTGCTAGGGGCGGGGGGATATGGTCTCACTCTTTTGCTCAGTCTGGAGTGCAGTGGTGTGATCTTGGCTCACTGTTACCTCCACCTCCCAGTCTCAAGCGACTCTCCTGCCTCAGGATCATAATCTTTTTTTTTTTTTTTCATGTGAGATGTAGTTTCACTGTTGTTACTCAGACTGGAGTGCAATGGCATGATCTCTGCTCACCGCAAGCTCTGCCTCCTGGGTTCAAGCAATTCTGCTCAGCCTCCCGAGTAGCTGGGGCTACAGGCACCCACCACCATGCCCAGCTAATTTTTGTAGTTTTAGTAGAGACGGGGTTTCACTTTGTTGACCAGGATGGTCTCGATCTCTTGACCTTGTGATCCACCCGCCTCGGCCTCCCAAGTGCTGGGATTATAGGCGTGAGCCACTGCGCCCGGGGATCATAATCTTAAGATTACTGAAGTATTATAGGTAGCTGTGCACTGGGTCACCAAGATGTTTCCCAAGTATACTCTGTTGCACCTGGCCACTCTGCCCTCAATCCAGTCGGGAGGAGCTAGAACTACCGCCCTGCACCACCATGCCCAGCTTTTTTTTTTTTTCTTCCTCGAGGCAGAGTCTCACCGTCGCCCAGGCTGGAGTGCAAGGGCAGGATCTTGGCTCACTGCAACCTCTACCTCCCAGGTTCAAAAGCGGTTCTCCAGCTTCTGCCTCCCGAGTAGCTGGGATTACAGATGTGCATCACCACACCCAGCTACTTTTTTTTTTTTTTGTATTTTTAGTAGAGAAGGGGTTTCACCATGTTGACTAGGATGGTCTCAAACTCCTGACTTCAGACGATGCACCTGCCTCGACCTCCCAAAGTGCTGGGATTACAGGCATGAGCCACTGCGCCTGGCTAAATTTCTGAAGTTTCTAAAGAAAAACTTTTCTGAAGACAAAAGGGTATTTTGGGGGGAAAAAAACGTGTAGTAACTGTGTACTTTCCTTTGTTTAAAAAAGGGATCATAACACACGCACCCTCCCCATTTCTCACACTGCATTTTTTCTTCCTCATTGTCTATGAAGGATGGATCTTCCTCCGCTAGTTCCAGCTCATGGAGCTTGGCAGCTCCGCTCACACGAGCATCTGGCGCTTCCCACAAGTGTTCCCACCACTCCTGTGGAAGGCAGCCAATCGGATCTGGCCTAGGCATTCATTGCGGTAGCCACTCTGTAAGCCTCCTGGGCCGACTCTGTGCAGCACCTGTGGCTGAATAATGCCCCAGCCTCGTGACAGCTGGGTCCTGCCCCAGCTGGGACCTTTCCCTTTTGGCCAGAGCCTACTGGGTACAGGGACCCAAACAGACTGGTCTTCCTCAGTTCACCTCCCTGAAATTGCTTCCTGAGAAGGGGAAGGAGGTTCTGGTTCATCCTGCCCCCACAAGGCCTTCTCTGACTGAAATGTCCATATCCCCTTCTAAAGGTCCCTAACTCTGAGGGAGGTACTTTTTGTTTTGTGACGGAGTTTTGCTCTTGTTGCCCAAGCTGGAGTGCAATGGTGTGATCTGAGGTCACCGAAACCTTCACCTCCCAGGTTTAAGCGATTCTCCTACCTCAGCCTCTCGAATAGCTGAGATAACAGGCATGCGCCACCATGCCCGGCTAATTTTGTATTTTTAGTAGAGATGGGGTTTCTCCAGGTTGGTCAGGCTAATTTCGAACTCCCGACCTCAGGTGATCTGGCCGCCTTGGCCTCTTAAAGTGCTGGGATGACAGGCGTGAGCCTCCGCTACTGGCCAAGTCTGATTTTTGTTTTCAAAATCACACTATGGGGTCAGGCGCAGTGGCTCACACCTGTAATCCCAGCATTTTGGGAGGCCGAAGCGGGAGGCTACTTGAGGTCAGGAGTTCGAGACCAGCCTGTTTAACATGGTGAAATCCCGTCTCTACTAAAACTGCAAAAATTAGGCCGGGTGTCAATACACCCAGCGGGGCAGACAACGGAGTCACCATCACCCATCTGCCACCCTCGCCTCCCGCCAGGCAGCTCCCCAGCCCCAGGAATGAGGAGTCGGGAGACCCGGTACCACAGGTTCAGCACTTGTTTGGGGTCCTTCGCCTCCAGCACTAACGGGGAATACCTCCAGCCACTTCCGTCTTCCAGATAATTCCACTTCCGTCATCTCCGTAGCTTTGAGCTTGCACTTCCGTTGGCTCTGGCTGGTCCGGAAACGATTCCTAACCCGAAGGCACATCTAGGGCCCGCACCCCCTGGGATTATGGGAAATGTAGTTTTTTTTGTTTGTTTGCCTCCGTAAGGGACCAGGCAGAGTTGAGGAGCCGTGCGAGGGGTCGGACCATGACTTCCTCAAACGGAAACCGTCGCCTTTCGGGCCCGGTGGGGCCTGCGACGATGCAGAATCCGGGGCCGCGGGGACGCCAGGGTGCGCTGCCCGTAGGAACCGCCAGGAAGCCGCTGCCGATCCGAGCGGGCTCGGGGACGGACCGGAAGTGCCTTGAGGGCGGCCGTGGCATGGTCGGTTTGAGCCGCGCGTAGGGAAGGGTCAGTGGGAGGCCTGAGGGCGTCGGACGCCACGGCGGGCGGACCCGGGGTTCTGCCAAGAGGGTCCCGGCGTCAGGTAGCGCGATCCGCGGGGGAACTTTCGGAGCGCCCAAGCGCGACGCCGCTTGCGTCGGGGGCTTGGGAGCCTTGGGGCGCGAGCTGTGTTTGAAGCAGAGTCCTCCTTGTGGGTTGGGGTGGCGGAGGGAGAAGGGGTGCGGCGGTCGCGGCGGGACCGGACGCCCCAGTCCCGGCCTGCCCGCGACTGCTCGAAGGCGCTGCCGCCTGAGCTGAGCAGGCACCTGTGTTTCAGCTTCCCTTAGCCCCTGGGCCGCCGCACGCAGACCATGCTCCTGGTGCGCCTGACTTCCCCGCTGTTCAGGGCGGTTCCCTGGGCAGGTAAGAAGCCCCGCGGGGCGGCGGGGAGGGACACGCCTGGGCAGGAGTGCGGGTCTCAGCAGCCCGGCTGGGGCAGGGGCCCGTGGCCACGCACGAACTCTTTTCCCTCCAAACTTCCGAGGCTCACGTAGGGAGCCTCGGGTTCAGGCCAGGAGTTAGGTGCAGGGGATGCTCGCTGGGACGAACGTGCTGCTCCCCAGCCCGCAGGGCCGGCGCGGTGTCGCGAGCGGTGACTGTGCCGTCTGGTTTTCTGCAGGCTGCCGCCGGCTCTGGCCCAGCTCTGGAGAGCTGGGCGGCCGGGCCTGCGGGCACTTTTACAGCACACAGCCAGCCGGCCGGGGCAGGACGGCCTCCCTCCCTCGCAAGGGGGCCCAGCTGGAGCTGGAGGAGATGCTGGTCCCCAGGAAGATGTCCATCAGCCCCCTGGAGAGCTGGCTTACGGCCCGCTGCCTCCTGCCCAGACTGGACTCCGGGACCCCGGGTACTGTGGCTCCACCCCAGCCCCACGAGTGCCCGCCTTGCCACACAGGGGAAGGGGCCGAGCAGGGGGATGAGGGGGTCGGGGATGCGCCTGTGATGCAGTGCAAAAACGTGCTGAAGATCCGCCGGCGGAAGATGAACCACCATAAGTACCGGAAGCTGGTGAAAAGGACGCGGTTCCTGCGGCGGAAGATCCGGGAAGGACGCCTGAAACGGAAGCAGGTGAGCGGCCCCCTCCTTGGCCCTGGGAGGGACAAAGTGCTGAGAACGCGTGGCTTTGTCACGAATTACATGGTGGTCCCTCCCTCTGTCCCTGGCAGCTCAAGTTCGAGAGAGACCTGAGGCGCATCTGGCTGAAGGCGGGACTGAAGGAAGCCCCCGAAGGCTGGCAGACCCCCAAGATCTACCAGCGGGGCAGATGAGTCTGGCACCGCCCTCCCTCCCGCTGCTGTTGTCATCCGTGGTAATAAATGCTCAGAGTACTCAGCTGTCCCCGCAGATCTAGAGCCAGTTTTGCCTGGTGTGGCGACTCAGGATGGCAGCTGGTGCCAGTCCCTGGTGTTGTAGGAGCCCTGGGCACCAGGGTGGCAGATTGGCCATCTCTCTTTCTAGCTGGCCCTCAGCCACCCTCCCTAGGGTGCTGGGCCTGTGGGACAAATGGGTGCTGTGGAATCACTGTGAAAGGAGCCCGAAGCCCCTCCCTGAGTGCTGCATTCCCTGGGGGAGGTCGACCGAATGAAGACCCAGATGGCGGAAGTGCAGGAGGACAAGACTGGGGTCGAGGGAGCGCCCAGAATGCTGCGGGGAGGGGCTTCAGTGGGAAGTCAAGGAAGGTCCTGGTGCTGCTGGTGGTGGTGGATGGTACCCACCACACTCCGTGGATGTGGCCTCTAGTGGCCCTCTGAGCCGTCCAGCCGTCAGGGCCAGGCTGTTGGTCCGGCTGTCAGTTTTCCCAGGCATGTGTGCCACCTCCTGGGGCCCTGAGTGGAGGAGGGGGCTAAGCAGGAAGAGATGGCTCAGATGGGGTTCAGGGTGGCAGGGTGGGGGGAGAGCTGAGGAGACAGTGTCGTTTACAGGGCTGGAGAATCCCTGAGGCTTAACTTGAGGTCCCTGGTATTTTCAGGTTCCTCGTGATGAAAAGGAAGAATACATTATTCCTTTTTTTTTTTTTTTTTTTTGAGATGGAGTCTTGTTCTATCACCAGGCTGGAGTGCAGTGGCACGATTTCGGCTCACTGCAACTTCCATTTTTCGCTTTCAAGCAATTCTCCTGCCTCAGCCTCCCAAGTAGCTGTGACTACAGGCATGCACCACCACGCCCGGCTAAATTTTTTCTGTATTTTTAATAGGGACGGGGTTTCACCACGTTGGAAAGGATGGTCTCGATCTTTTGACCTTGTGATCCACCCGCCTCGGCTTCCCAAAGTGCTGGGATTACATGTGTAAGCCATCGTGCCTGGCCTTTTTTTTTTTTTTTTTTTTTTTAGGCAGTCTCGCTCTGTTGGGCAGGCTGGAATGCTGTGGTGTGACCTTGGCTCACTGCAACCTCTACCTCCTGGGTTCAAGTGATTCTCCTGCCTCAGCCTCCTGAGTAGCAGGGATTACAGGCGCCCACCATTACACCCAGCTAATTTTTGTATTTTTAGTGGAGATGGGTTTCACCATGTTGGCCAGGCTGGTCTCGAACCCCTGACTTCAGTGATCACCTACCTCGGCCTCCCAAAGTGCAGGGTTGCAGGCGTGAGCCACTGTGCTGGCTGGAATACAGCATTCCTAAGAGCAGGGGTGTGGACTTGGGTAGCAGGACATGGCAGGCAGGGCACCAAGAAGGTGCTTCCGCCACTAACAGCTCAGCAACAGGAGAAGAGCCTCTCCCATCCCACCTGTTGGGAAGGCTGGGCTGCCTCTCACCAGGGATGTGGTGGCCTCCTGTTTATTTGTCACAGAAACGTGTTTGTGGCTCAAGCTTGATTCCCTTGCCCATCAGATCTTGGGGAGAGCTTGAGCACTGTTCCCAGCAGTTTATCTAGAACAGGACAGACTTGTGAATCACGTATTGTCCAAGGCGTTAGGCCCTGCACTTGCCAGCTGGTCAGGTCAGCAGGGCCTGTATTGTTGCTCCCTGTCCCCACAGAGAGGCTGTGTGGCTGCCCCTGGAGGAGCCTGGAGCCAGTGGCTGGTGCAGGTGTGCTTCCCCAGGCCACCACACGGGGCAGCAGCCAGGCTCCTGGGTCCAGGACTGGGGACTAGGACAGGTGGCAGGAAGCAGCTTGCGAAGCCCCAGCTGTGGTCACAGTCATCCGGGTCTGTTTCCCCAGGTGTGAACGGGGCAGGGGTCCCAGGGCCAGAGCCTCAAAGGCTGAAACTCCCTCAAGTTAAGCGGGGCCAACTCAGTGCCAACACTGGCCCTGTCCTAGTGTCCCAGTACCCTTTCCCACCACTGGCACCCTCAGCAGAGCAGCTGCTCCTGGCATTTCCTTCCAGCCCTGCCTCAGGAGTTGCCCCGGAGCTCACTTGCCCCATCCCTGGGTGAAGGAGGAGACACAGGAAGCTGAGTTGAGCCATCTGGAGTCTGAGCCTGCAGAGCTTGGGGGGTCAGCAGGCCTACCCAGCTCAGGCACAAGCCTGGGGACACCTGCCCTGCCCCTGGTCTCCTCCCCTGTGTGGGGGCTTTCTGGGGTGCTCTTTGGAGCCAGGTCAGCCATGGCTTTCAGCCACATCTGGAGACATCTGTGGTCGTCACAATGGGAGGTGCGGCTGGCACAGGTGGGTGGAGCCCAGGGATGCTGCTACACACCCTGCACCATGAGGACATACCCACCACAAACCCATCAGCCCAACGTCAGCAGCGGTGGGTATCCCACTTCAGAAGTAACGGTCTGCCAAGGCAGTGCCTGAGCCGCCCACCCCAGCTCCTGCAAGCCTGGACTCTGCTGAGCCTATAGAGCTCACCCTGCCTTGGCTTGGAAGCCTTTGTTGCCCAACCACAACCTTGGGAAGCAATTTGGGGGTTTTATTTTTAATCTCTGCGGCTGCTTGAAGGCCACAAGAGGCCATCCCTCCCGTCTTCTCTGTGGGGCCTCCGCCCTGCCCCTGGTCTGTGAGACATGCACCCCCCTCCCTGTTGCCTCCCCTTTTCTGTCCCTGGGCATCATCTGGGCGAGGGGGCAAAGGTGGGTGGGGTGTTGTGGGGGCATGTGGAGCTGCCAGCGACCCACCCCTCACCACCGCGTGTCCTGATGCTCAGAGCTTGGGTTCCAGCCAGGGTTTGGCTCTGCTGGGGGTGGTCTTGGACAGTGGGCATGGTGCACCCAGCCTCAAGCACACAGGAAAGATTTGATGGTGGCCTCAATAACGGGACATCTTGGTGAGCTCAGCCTCTGGCAGGCTAGTGTCTTCTGTGGATTCCACTGGGGCTGAGCCTGGGGCCTGCCCAGCCACACTACTGTGGGTTCAGAGCTCTCATGGACTGTGGATGAGGCCCTCAGCTCCCCGTCCCAGTGCCCCTCCAGGGCCCTGCCTGCTTCAGATGTGTGTGGGGGTGGGGGTGCAGCAAACGTGTGTGCCAAGCAAGGCCCAGAACCTCCAGGGAGCTGAGCCGAGCACTCACTGCATGCCCTGTCTGAGGAGCACGCAGGCCGGTGAGGCCAACAGAGAGGCCCTGGGTGTGGAGCGGAGTCTGGGAGGAAAGCTGGCTCCCTGGGCTGGGCTAAGGCCCCCTGAGCTTCCGGGAAGGGCACTGGGAGGTGGGAAAGAACATTCCTGTTGATCAGGCTGGAGGAGTCTGGATCCTGTTTCCGAATGCCATGTTTTCAGAAATAGTCTCGCCTCTGTACTCCGGCCGGAGTACAGTGGTACAATCTCAGCTCACTGCAACCTTCCACTTCCTGGCCCAAGTGATTCTCCTGCCTCAGCCTTCCAAGTAACTTGGACTACAGGTGTGCGCCACTGTGCCCGGCTAGTTTTTGCAGTTTTAGTAGAGATAGCGTTTTACCGTGTTGGCCAGGCCACTGTCCAACTCCTGACCTCATTCCATCTGTCCACCTTGGCCACCCAAAGTGCTGGGATTACAGGCATAAGCCACCACGCTAATTTTGTTTTTTTTTTTTGTTTTGTTTTGTTTTAGTAAAGATGGGGTTTCTCCACGTTGGTCAGGCTGGTCTCGAACTCCTGACCTCAGATAATCTGCCCACATCAGCTTCCCGAAGTGCTAGGATTACAGGCATGAGCCACTGTGCCCGGCCAAGTTCTTTTATTTTTGAGATGGAATCTTGCTCTGTCGCCCAGGCTGGAGTACAGTGGCATGACTTGGCTCACTGCAACCTCCGCCTCTAAGGTTCAAGCGATTCTTCTGCCTCAGCTCCTCAAGTATCTGGGATTACAGGCACCCGCCACCACACCCTGGTAATTTTTGTATATTTAGAAGAGACAGGGTTTCACCATGTTTCCCAGGCTGGTCTTGAACTCCTGACCTCTGATGATCTGCCCACCTCGGTCTCCCAAAGTGCTGAGATTGCAGGCATGAGCCCTTGCACTAGGCTGTGATAAGATCTTTAGAGTTATTTGTAAAATAAGCTTACTTGTAAAAGTAAATTTTTATAAAAGTTATCCTTTGGCCTGGCATGGTGGCTCATGCCTGTAATCCCAGCACTTTGGGAAGCCGAGGTGGGCGGATCATGAGGTCAGGAGTTTGAGACCAGCCTGACCAACGTGGTGAAACCCCTTCTCTACTAAAAATACGAAAAAGAAAATTAGCCAGGCATGGTGATGAGTGCCTGTAGTCCCAGCTACTCAGAAGGCTGAGGCAGGAGAATTGCTTGAACCCGGGAGGCGGAGGCTGCAGTGAGCCGAGACCACACCACTGCGATACAGTCTGGGTGGCAGAGCGAGACTCCGTCTCAAAAAAAGTTATCTTTGAGGCTGGGCACGATGGCTCACACCTGTAGTCCTAGCACTTTGGGAGGCCGAGGTGGGCAGATCAAGAGGTCAGGAGATCAAGACCATCCTGGTCCACATGGTGAAACCCCATCTCTACTAAAAATACAAAAATTAGCTAGGTGTAGTTGCATTTACCTGTAGTCCCAGCTACTGGGGAGGCTGAGGTAGGAGAATCACTTGAACCCAGGAGGCAGATTGCACCACTACACTCCAGCCGGGGGGATAGAGTGAGACTGTCTCAAAAAAAAAAGAAAAGAAAAACAGTGTCTCCTCCCCCATCCCCTTTCCCAGAGGCAATTTTAGCACTTAAGATTCTTCTGGTAGTACCATGTTTTAAAGCTGGTGGCTTTTAGACCTTTTTTTTTTTTTTTTTTTTTTGAGGTAGTGTCTCACTCTGTACCCTAGGCTGGAGTGCAATGGCACGATCTTGGCTCACTGCAACCTTCGCCTCCCAGGTTCAAGCAGTTCTCCTGCCTCAGTCTCCCTAGTAGCTGGGACTACAGGCACCACCACGCCCAGCTAATTTTTGTATTTTTACTAGAGACAGGATTTCACCATGTTGGCTAGGCTGGTCTCAGATTCCTGACCTCAGGTGATCTGCCCGCCTTGGCCTCGCAAAGTGTGGAATACAGGTATGAGCCACTGTGTCTGGCCAGATCTTTTTTTATTTTTTGAGGCAGGGCCTCCCTCTGTCTCCCAGGCTGCAGTGCAGTAGTGCCATATTTATAGCCCAGTGCCGCCTGTAACTCCTGGGCTCCAGCTACCCTCCCACTTCAGCCTCCCAGGTAGCTGGGGATACAGGCGCACACCATCATGCCCAGCTAATGTTTTTTTCCAGCAGAGATGGGATCTCACTAAATTGCCCAGGCAGACCTCAAACTCCTGACCTCATGATCCTCCTGTCTTGGCCTCCCAAAATTGGGATTACAGGTGTGAGCTACCACACCCAGCCTACTTTCAGACGTTTTTGATCAAAACATAAAATAAATACCTTTTTACATGGCTATGTGATGAACACACACAACTGAAAGTTGTACAGAGTAATCTCGCTCATAAATCCAATAAACTCAGTGTCTGCCGTAGTCATGCTGCTCCTTCGTGCCTGTGATCCCAGCACTTTGTGAGGCTGAATCAGGTGCATCCCTTAGGCCTAAGAGGTTGAAACCAGCTTAGGCAATGGAGCAAGACCCGGTCTCAGCAGCAGCAGCAGCAGCAGATTTTTCATTTTTCTTAACCATGTGTGGTTGTGCTCATCTGTGATCCCAGCTACTCTGCAGGCTGCGGTGAGCTGAGATTGAGATCCTGCCACTGCACTCCAGCCTGGGCAACGGAGTGAAACTGTCTCAAAAATAGAATGAAAGACAAAATGTTGGGCCTGGCGCGGTGGCTCACGCCTATAATCCCAGCACTTTGGGAGGCCGAGGTGGGTGGATCACGAGGTCAAGAGATAGAGACCATCCTGGTCAACATGGTGAAACACCATTTCTACTAAAAATACAAAAAATGAGCTGGGCAAGGTGGCGCGTGCTTGTAATCCCAGCTACTCAGGAGGCTGAGGCAGAAGAATTGCCCGAACCCAGGAGGCGGAGGTTGCGGTGAGCCGAGATCGCGCCATTGCACTCCAGCCTGGGTAACAAGAGCGAAACTCCTTCTCAAAAAAAAAAAAGAGAGAAAGACAAAATGTTTGTCCTGACTCCCTAGACTGAATTCACACCCACTAATGGGCCGGAATTTCATGCAGTTTGAAAATGCTGCAGCTAAGTTTCATACTCATGTTGCTACATTTTGTTTCTTCCTCTCTGGTCCCTGCCTGACATCCGCCTCCTTACTCCTCCCATCCTCCCAGCACAGCCGGCCTGTTGGGATTCGTGAGTTGTGGGTATTCACTTGATAGCGAGGTGACACTGTGGAGAACTGAACCATGTGCTATGTGCTAGGATGACTTTTCCTTCCCTGTGCAAGTTTTTCCTTTCCCCATAGTCAGTCATTGTTTTTTTTTTTCAATTGCTTAGATTTCTTTACTCTCCACAGTTCCAATACCCAGTTCCCGAGCAGCTCCCAGGCACACTGAGGCTCTGTGGTTTCATCTCATTGATGAAGTCTCCCCCAGAACTTCTGACTCCCAGCTGGGCTGGGTGCCTCCTGCGTCCGCAGCACCAATGTCTCCCTGGAATCTTACTTTATACTTCTAGGGAATTCTCTCAGCCTCTCTCCCGCTTCCCACATCCCTTGTCTCTCATTTTTCTTCCCTTTGGAAGAGCACATGTTCCATAGCTTCCTGAGGAAAAAGCACGAGGGGAAAATTTGGACCCTTAGAGGGAAAATTTGGACCCTTAGATATCTGAAAATGTCTTCGTTGTATCCTGTTACTCAGTTGATAGTTTGTGGATAAGAATCCTGGAATGGGAATCGTCACCTACGAAATTCCGGGACAGGAACCCTCCCCCACGGGATCCCAGCACGGGGGCCCTCACCCACAGAATTTTGCAAGCAGTGCTTTGTTGCCTTCTAGTTCCCAGGGTTGCTGTTGAGATAGTTTTAAACTCAGTTTGAGTCATGAGCCTTTGTCAATTACTTTTTTTTGATCTATTGAGGCTTTTTTTAAAATAAGATACAGTCTTGCTCCGTCACCCAGGCTTGGGTGCAGTGATGCAATCTCGGCTCACTGTAGCCTCCACCCCCTTGGTTGGGTTCAAGCCATTCTCCTGCCTCAGCCTCCCGAGCAGCTGGTATTACAGGTGTGCACCTGGCTGATTTTCGTATTTTTAGTACAGATGGAGTTTCATCACCTTGGTCAGGCTGGTATGGAACTCCTGACCTCAGGTGCTCCACTTGCCTCGGCTTCCCAAAGTGCTGGGATTTTAGGTGTGAGGCACTGTGCCTGGCCTAGATGCTGCTTTTTCTGTGACTGTT